TGGTGTCTAAATGATGGCCTCATGCAAATCTATGACTCGGATTACACGGAGAAGAAGAATGTCTAATGTCTGTCTACCATTGACCAGTTAAGTGCCATTATTCCCCCTATCCGTCTTGATGCTACTTTCGTTCAGTTATACGGTAATTTCACTACTAATTGATTGGTTGAGGTTACATTTAACTAAGCCACTAGATTGTCTTTGGTGCGAGAGGTTTCAGGAAGGAGCAGCTTTTCAACGGATAAATAATGCCTGAAACTGGTGTTGACAGCATGGGAAAAACCTGTGTAGTTGAAATTGACACAAATAAACATTCAGACTATATGCTTGTAACACCGTGTTCCATGTTCTGCACACACCACACTAACTAGGTGCGCCAAGTCAAGAAGAATCGGGGTGGTGTGGGATGGGATGGGGGAGGGGTGAGTGTATGTGCAAATGGATTCAATTGACCTGTCGTCCGTCTACAAATGACTAATTAACTTGAGATGACGAGATCATCCTGCGAAATTGCCCACTGTGTCGCCTGTGATACCCACTTGCATTCCTTATGGCACAAATGTAAGGATGAAAGAAGACAACGTTTTGTAGCTGTGAAATTTGTCTTTCACACTCAACTTCTCCTTTTCCATGAGAATTCACACAATTCTTGCCAAATCCTTCCTGTCTCTCATTATCCCCTTACTTCACTCACATTCTCACAGTCACATTGCACGTGTGCGTTCCTCTTGAAACCCCCCCCCCTCACTTCTACCACCTATCTTCCAATCCGAAAGCACCGACAATACTCCAAACTTTTCATGCTCACTTAATTGCATCTGCAATGACACGTCCCACTTCTATTATTAAGCTGGTTCCTTCAAAATTGCCCATTTTAAATGATATCAGTGATGTTTCGAGAGAAGAAGAAGAAGAAGAAGAAGAAGAGGAAGAGGATGAATGCTCACTGCCGCTTTGACAAAAGCAAGAGCACGCCACGAAGCAAGATTTTTTCTTGCCGTGATTACTGCTATTTCATTGAGTGTTACGCATTCATGCTATTTATTATCTACTTTCGACAAGAGTTTCACTTATTGCCACATAGACTTGTTTTGACGATTTCACCAACTTCTCCCTGAGCTGGAGAACGAGAATACACTCTCAATTGCTCAACTTCAACATATGCTGATATTTCCGAATTGAACGGTGAGACTACTGGAGTCAGAGCAATAACCGAACTGTGCCACTATTATCATGGCAACTAAAGTACTATAATTCAAAATTGTGACCACTGAAGCCGAGATTGTACCCGTTCAATGTGGTTAAAAATGGTGATTCTACCTTAGTGAAAACTGTGACCAAATCGGTTTCCACAGTTGGATTGACTCAGGCACAGAGATATTGGCTTACATTTCGATTGATCAATGGAGCGTATGAGGTGTAGATGGCTCTGGTGGATGAGATGACCAGCATTTGTACTAGAACAATTGCTTATTGAAGAATTGCAGATACGGACTGTAGAAGAAGTGAGTTGCATATCTAGAGAGGGTGCAGCTCATAAATGAAATTCAATTAATTTGGCACGCTTTATTTGTACAATTGACCCTCTCTAGATTGGAGAATATCAGCTCAGGTCACCTGCTTGTTCGAACCTTAAACGCGGCAATAAATCGAAACCACAAAGCTTTCTTTGGTTAAATGAATAATACCGACAAATTATTATTGAACGCAGTGGCGATACAGGAGACCATTATTGGAATTTGTACCTATGAATCAAAATTTCCCATCTAGTGAGTACACCATAACGCCCATACAATAAATAAACATGGTACCAGTCTTGCTGATTCCTATATCTAATCGATTCCTCTGTCCTTGTGAGCCGATCTCATTAGCTTTCAACTATTGCAATTCCCCAATTATTTCTGCCACTGCGGAAAATGCTGATACCTCAGAACTATACCCTTTGTGCATGGGAAATGCCTCTGCAAAGTGAACACCTTCAATGTAGATGTCCACAACACACTAAACTGTAGTCAAGAGAAAAGTGCTCACAATTTAAAACAACGCTCGATCATTGCATTTTGCAAGTGTTAATTAAGTATAATGCTGTGGAAAACCCAAACGGTCCAGAGAAATAACTGCGGATAAAATAGGTGTCCATGAATGAATGGCCACACATCGCTTGATATTTTTACTTGAACACTACCAAATGACTTGAAATCAGTTCATCGCAAGTGAATTATTTTCAAAGAATTGACGATCGAGAGATAATTGGGAATAATCTTACATTCTTGCAACATTGGCCACAACGCACAATGACCATCAAGAAATAAGAAAATGCAAGCCGAACACTCATTATGTCTATTAAGTAAAAGTAAAACCCAGGGGAATCTAAAGCCCAAGGAAACTAATTGTGCGGAAAAAAACATGTGACTGGCAAGTGATATGGAAAGCGACCTCTATACGGAAGTAGTAGTACACAAATGTTGACTTATTTCGCATCCTCCTAAGTTGGAAGAAAAAAGTGAATTGAAGTGCTTACAAATTAGGCAGCAGACACTGACCTCTGCAGACAACCATTTTCTGCAAAACAGTTGACGTATCGTGACATGCCAATTTCGGAACAAGAATTGCCCCATTTTAACTAGTATCAAACTCGAATCGATCGAAGTAAAACTCCGCGATATCATGACATTTCTCTCCGCCACCCCCACCCCCAGCACTCCTTCTCTCGACTGTTACAATTCTTGCTACTCATTGCGGCTGCCATCACAATTGCCTCCCATAATACTTCCGAAATCTCTAAAATCGCATTAGGACTCCGTTAATGTGTTTAAGCTCTGCCTTAATACTATTGGCTTTCAATTGGCAATTACGTGAAATCAAGTTGGGAGGATTTAGTTTAAATGCTCACTAGCATGAGAATTTGCCATCTGAAGGAAGCCTCCTTTTCAGACGTCTTTCTGTGGATACTTGAGTAATGAATTGCCTTATTTAATGTAGCAGATAGGCAACCAGTATTTATCCACTTTCTAATGCATTTAAGCAATTATTCTATTGCAGCTGATATTCTTGCCAGTGGAAAAGTACCAATTCGTTTGTAGACCTCAGAAGCAAAATTACTTTAGTCGGAAACATGCAAATAATCATAGAATTGCTGTGATATACTCTCTATCTTACATTCCATAACAGGCATTAGAAATATTTTAAAGTGATAGATCTCGAAAATTTGAAAGGAAGAGGAAATATCTAACTATGACGATTCTGGGACCAGTTTAATAATCACGGTCCACTCAACTTTTAGATTGCTATCCTAAGATATGTGAGCATTGGAATCGGGGAAAGAAAATAGACTTGAAATATGCTTTTCCTTGTTGCTTGAGGTTGTTTTGATACCCTAACCATAAAATTAATTATCTAATACTCCTAGGTATCTAATAGACCATAAGATGAAGGAACTTCATAGCAGGCAAGACTGCAATTTAGCCGCAACCGTATAACGTGTGCCGACCATGCAAATATACGGAAGTTTTTCATATAATTGGTCAAAGCTTTGGATTCGGTGGCGGTTAGTATTGGGCGTGGGAAATTAATAGGCTCATGATCTTTACCAATAATTTTGAAATGTCCTTAAATTAGCCAATGTGCATACGAAAAGTAATATGACCTGATGTATATATAATAAAGCAATTTCAATAGAATAATTGCATCAAATTTGCCCTTATCACTAAGAATGTCGTTTTTAATTTTCATTCTCTTGCTCTTTTCCTCGATAAGGGGCTTTCCCGCTAGGCCGTTTCCAAATGGCAACGAATCTGACCATGATAGGTCGCAAGTGCGGATCTCAATGGATGTCAATTTGGCGGCTGCAAACATGATTGAAATGATGCAGCGGTTGTATCAGACGAGCGGGGTAGCCTTTACTGCGAATGATGCTCAAACGGGAAGTCGTTTACTGAAGCAAGATGGCATCTTTACAAAGCCTCCAATGGTGCCGTCAGCAATGAACAATAATGAGGAGATGAAATCATCGAGTAGGCACGATAATGGCCACGAGTACATCAATCCAGCAGTTATTGATCGGAATACAGTAGATGTTATATTTGAGACAATGCCAAACATACCACCAGAAATAACCAATGTTCTGTCACAACTGGATGGTGATTTTGCAGAATATATTCTAACCAATGCCATCAATCCCATTGATATTATTAGGGAAATGAACGAAAAAACACTAAAGCTGGCAATCATTTATGTCCCAGTTTTCTCCAGGCTACTTGCACAAGCGGACGCGGAAACGATTCATTCGACTTTCTACAAAATACCAAGACCTTGCGAATATTTATTAAGTTTGGACGCCGACATCATTTACATTATTAAAAACCAATATACATGGCTGGATATTTGCTTTACAGCAATATTCGCAAAAACTAATCCAAGAGCGATCTTCACGGACTACCAGCTTGTGTACATCAATAAGAAAATACCCAACTTTAAGGTACTGATGGACCGCATACCGGCTGATAAATGGAATGCGAAAAATAAGATTGCGGTTGCGGCAGCACATATGCTGCTAGTTATGCCCGATTACGATATTCGCGTGTTGAATGAGGTTCTTGATGTCGTAACAAGTACAACATCGAATCAAGAGCTAAAGAAGATGTTGGTGAAAAGAGGTGCTGAATTGCAGGGTGCTTTCCTACTGAATCTACTATTAGATGGGTGAGTAACAGTTATTTTTGATCAATTTTGGTAGAAATGTAATTCATAACTCATAGGGTTTCAGTTTGGACGACTCGAGGTTTTTTCCCACAAATAACCAGATTTATTCTAAAACTTTAGAGCAGAGCAGCGTATTGAGGAAATTGTCCCAGAGGATACAACACCACCAACTGAGGAAAGTGAAGAGTATGAAGAGTCAATAGAAGGCACAATAAAGTTCATGTTGAGTCCAAAGAAAAGGACTATTCCTCAATACGAATATTATGAATCTGTGAAGAAGAGAAAGCACTGGAAGGAGGCTTTTGCATCCATGACTTATACAGAAATGGCCTATGTCATCACCCGAGTTGGAGACGCCGATGACTTTATGTCGCAAATGCCGATTAGTGTCATTGAAAGATGTGTTAAGAATTTGCCAAAAGTTGAAGGCGTGAATGGCTTCGATGAATATAAGACATTTGACAACATTAAATATCCTAAAACAATGGAAAAGCTATATGGTGCTACCACAACAACGACATCTACCACAGCAACTTCGACACCGGCAACAACCACAACATTGACTTCAGCACCAGCCACATCAACATCAACAGTACCGGAAGCCACAGAAACATCGAATCTGCCTGCAGCCACAACAACATTGGCACCGGAAACAAATGCAACAACACTGGCTCTGTCAACGACCTCAGCAACATCGAAACTGGTAACAATAACAACCTCGGTTCTGCCAACAACTACATTAGCATCAACTCCACCAACCACCACAACAACATCGACTCCACCAACCACCACAACAACATCGACTCTACCAACAACAACAACATCGACTCCGGCAACAACCACAACAGCTTCTTCGACGTCAACCGTTGCAAGTATTGAGAAGCTAAAGAGTATAGAAGAAACAAAGAAGTTCTTGCTGAGACCGGATATTCAAAGTTGGAGGTTCCATCAACTCGATGCAGCAATTAGCAAGTTGAAGTATGTTAAGGAGGCTGTTATGACCATGACCTATGAAGAATTGGCGCGAGTTTTACCCTTGTTCTCCGATATGGATGATTTTCTATCAAAGATGCCCGTTGATTTCATTAAAGGCTGTATAGCCAATTTGCCAAAATACGAAAAATTTGCGCATTACAGAGATTTCTCTTATATGCGCTTTCCAAAGACACTGGAGAAGGTCTATTTGGGACCAGTGAACACGATCGAAGCAACGAAGAGGTTTATGCTGCATGATATACTGAAAAAGCTACATAATTACCAATACGAAAGGAGTGTTTTCAATAAGAAATATCATAAAGAGGCATTTGCTTCGATGACAAACGAAGAAATGGCTTATGTTGTCGGACGACTTTCTAATCCTGATTATTTTCTTCCAAAGTTGCCTTTTAATGTCATAAAACGTTGTGTTGAGAACCTGCCAAAGGTCAAAAATGTTGAGGGATTTGATCCGAGGCAATTCACCCACATAAATTTCCAAAATACCTTCAGACATTACATTTTGGAGAAGACAAAGGAGGAGACTCTCGAAAACACCAAAGAATTGATGCTTAGTCCAGTGTTTCGGGGAATGGAATATGAAAATATGGTGCGTAAGAGGCTGCATTGGAAGGAGGCGTTTGCATCTATGAAATGTGAGCAAATGGCCATGGTGTTACTCCGCGTCGCATATAGGGACCAGTTTCTATCAGAGATGCCCATTGATGTCATTAGACGATTTGTCAGGAATCTTCCCAAACTTAATGAAGATCTTAGAGGATACTTCCGTTTTAACCACTACTCGTTTCCAAAAACCTTGAGGAAACTCCAAGGAAAATCATAGACGTTTTCCAGGCACCTGTTATAAAATTTCAATGTCAATATACTCGTTAGAATTTCGAAATTGTTTCTTTTTGTTTGTGTCAAAGGGCTGTGGCGGCGTCAAATCTACAATTGTTACTCAATGCCATATATTATATAACTATAAATTTACATATTAAATGAGAGGTCATGTTACATTTAGATCATTCGACAAGTGAAATGTAGTTCAAGGCTGACCAATTAGATTAGCAGAAGGGCTTGCCGTTGCTTTTACTCTGGTAGGCAATGGAGGTCGAATGTCAATTACTTTATTGAAACTATACCGGAAGCAATATTTTTATATAACAAAATGAAACCCGTTCATTTCTTCTAAATGCGCTTTTTGTCAGTTATGTCTAAATGAATAGAATTTTACTATGTTCTGGCTTTATGTGATCTATACTAAATCGATAGCACATAGTTTCGGGCATCAAATAGGATGGAATGTTTATGATTGCTCATTGTAGATTTTACAGGCGTGAGGAATAAGGGCATGTGTGCAAATATTGAATTTTGCTAAAACAGTGTCTGATGCAATTAAGAAGCGGGCAGTAGTTTCCGAAAAGTAATTTTTGGATTCTCATGAGTAGAGATAATTGTAACAATCGAGGAGGAGTGGGGGTGAGGGGGTGGCGGGGAGAAATGTAATCTAAAAGTTGAGTGGACCGTGATTATTAAACTGATCC